AACCCAACCTGCAGAAAACAGCCATTGACTAAGAACTCACTGATCAACTGAGAGCCTTTTTTTCTCTAAATCTTTCAGAGCAACCTCTGAACACATTTTTGGATAAGGAGGAACAGGGGAGTGTGGAAGGCACAAAGACCCTGAAAGGGAAGAAAGCCTGAGAGAAACTGCCCTGAATGTAAGCATCGAAAGGCCTGGGTTGGCCCCAGCTCTGCCTGTTTGCAGCCTTGGACACCTTCCCCTCCCCCCCCCAATAAGTAATTTACTCTTTGTGCTGCCAACAGTAAATCTAGATCCAAAACTGACAAAAAGAGAGCTGCTTAAAGAACACGTGAGATAACTTGTAAAAAGTGTTCTGTACACTGAAAGATGTTATGCACATACAATACAGCCTCTCCAGAATTTTGCATTAAAGTATGCATAAAAAATGCAGTTAAAAAAATACATCTCCAGATCTGCAGCTTTGCTTCTTTCTTACATGGATTTAAATACCTCAAAAGAGCCTCACACCAATGGCCAATATGAGCCAAGTTATTCTTTAGACACCAAGCGTATCTGTGCCAGCTCACCTACCCGTCCCCACCTCATGCCCGATCAGCCCTTTGACTCCCGGTGAGAAGAACAGAAGGAAAACAGTGGGCTGGAGGCTTTCGAGAGCTGGGGGCCTGCAAGGAAGAGGCAGTATTGGTGCCCTTTCTGGTGCTCCATTATTTAGAGATACACTTCCTTCTCCCTGTTTGCACTTTGCCATTTGTGGCTTGGAGGAGTCCATCTGCATGAAGCCTTAGAGATCCCCTCCAATCCATCCTACCATCCATTCATTCAGCAAAAGGTTATTGAGTTAGTTACTACTGTGTGCCAGCCCTTCCTTGGGTATTGCGGTTATTTATGACAGGGAAAGTTCTTGCTCATGGGACTCACATGCTGGAGAGGACACATGAGTTAAGTAAGAGGGCTTCAGATCATGACAAGTGCCAGGAAGACAACTGAACAGGTGACATAAGTGACAGGGCTGGGGAAGGAGAGGAGAGGTCTTCAGAGGGGACAGGGGAGCCATTTGTTAATGAGCTGACAATTGAGCTGAGATTCAAAGGGTGGAAAGCAGTCATTCACACAAACAGGCATTGTAAGCTATGGGAAGTGCAAGTGCGAAGGCCCTGAGGCAGGAACAAAGGTGCTCTATTTGAGGAACCAAAAGAAGCCAAGTGGTCCAAAGGTCAGACCAAGGGGGGAAGTTGAAGAGATGGGGTCAAAGAGGTCAACAGGGTCAATGACCCCCTTGCGCATGGGAGGAAAGTGAAGCCCAACGAGGCTAAATGAACAGCCCAAAGTCTAACAGCTTATTATTGCTACAGCTCATTCTAGCAACTCATCCTTTTGTTCCCAAATGCAGAGTTCTTTAAGCCATATTTATCAGCTTCTCTCAAACCGTGGGAATACTGTTCACTAATTTTATTGGTTTTTAAAAGCCCTTAACATGCATAAAGCCAACAAGCGAATCCCACTTTTCAGCAGAAAATCATCAAGCCATCCCACCAATTTAAAGTACCCATACGTTCTGCTACGGAAGCTAAGACTTAGTGTCAATCTACTTTTGTGTAGGTCCCACACAAACAGTAACTATTGATTAAAGGCTCAGCTTTACAAATAGGAGGAAGGCCAGAGCTCACCAGAGTGTAATCATTTTACCTTTAGGTCTTACTTTTGCACCTAAACCTCTTGACGGTGCTTTGCTTAATTCACCCAAGTGCAATCAAAACCAATCTGTTCACAATCCACCTTCATTTTGTGCTATTAAATTGTCAGGTAACAGGGCCGTAAGCAAAACATCATAATTACAACTTCCTTCCGCAATCTGTGAGCGCCTCCACCTGAAGGCTCAGATCTGTGAACACTCAAATCGTGCAGCCTGTTTAATGTGAACTGCCCCTTCGCCTTTCAGGTATAATGCTAGGTTCCTCTTTATCTTTGTCCTGCTAAGCCCACTTGGCCTGTGTAAATGCAAACCTCCAAAGGACAGGCCCAAACTGTCCAGTGGCCAGTGACTGGTCCACCGAAGAAGCAGAGGTGCTATCTGGCTGGAGGGGTCAGTAGAGAAAGGAATCTGTGAAAAGGCTGATTTGCTGCCTACCTCCCTCCCTCCTCCTCGCCCCACCTCCCCTCTTTTCCTCTTTCTCCTAGAAACAAGCTTCTCTGGTCCCTGAGCTCTGGGAGCCTCGCAAGGCAGAGGTCCAATAACTTAAGAGAGAGAGTTGAAAAGTGTTTGAGGGTCCATCTTATAGTCCAACACTGCCGCCTACTATCTGTGTAAACTTGGGCAAGTTATTCAACCTCTTTGTTCCTCAGTTCCCTCAACTGTAAAATAAGGACAGTATCTTTTTCTCGAGATTAAATAAATTAATCTTCTAATTAAATAATAATTAATTGAGTAATAATTTATTTATTGAATGCAGGTAAAACACTACATGGTGTCCGGCACAGTTCTATACAGGTGTGAGGTGTGTCACCCTCACTCCGCACTCTTCTCCTGCCTCTGGCCTCTTGGCTAGGAAAGGCCTGTCACCCCCACCTTCAGGAACAATTGTGCAGGAAGGCAGAGCACCTTGCTGGATATCAGCTCAGAGGTGTCCTGATGATAATCAAGATGGGACGATAACAGTTGTACCATCAGATAAGCATTATGAGAATGATCATATGAAATAATGTACAGAACACACCTGGCGTGCAATAATTGCTCATTGAATGTTATTTTTTAGCGTCTTTTTATCTTTAGCACCAGTGGCTGTGACTGTGGATGCTACTTGCATGCTTCTTCAGTGTTGGGCTATAACGTGGGACTCATCTGTTTATCACTGTGGCATAAATATATAGAAAGACAGTCATATAGAAATGTATTTAAAAGCCAAGGCCAGCTTCACACAGGCAGCCCCACAGCCCTCCCTATCAGAGTTCCTTGAAGAGCCTGATCTGACTCTTTGGACAACTGCCCACTGGACACGCCTCTTGACCGACACAGGAACATCTCCCCTTCAGCAAGTCCTGGACTGAATTCACAGGCTTTCCCTCAAGACTGGTCCTGCCCTGGCTGCTGCCTCAGTCATTCCCATTCCTCCATCTCCACAAATCCTGCTTCACCCGAAGCCTGTAGATTTTGTGTCCTCAGTAGCTCCCCACTCCATCCACTTTTCCATTCCTGGTCCATGTCACCATGGTATCTGGTCCCTCACATCCACAAGAGCTACACACCACTTGTTTTTAAACTTAGCTCAGATACTGTCATTCCTTAGCTTGAAGCCCTTCAGTGGCTTAAGATAAAGACTATGGTCATCCTGCTGACCGTAGTCACATCCTACCTGCAAGACCTGAGGCTTTGGGGTCTGACCCTATAGACCCCCCAGCCACACCTCAAAACACACATTCCCTTTCTTTCTTCTCAAGCCATAGAAACTTCCCTTCAGTTCTTCAAATGCACATGCTCCTTCTGTCTCAGGGCCTTTGCACATGCTGCCCCTCTTCTGCAACAGTTCTCCTCCTTAGTCAGTTAATCCTTACATATCCTCTAGGTCTCAGTACAAGTGTCTGAATACATTCCTTGACCAACCGCTTTCTTAAAATGCTGCTGCTCTCCCCCATGGAACATACATAACCTGTAATTATGCATTCCTCTGTGCAATGACTGATTTAGGTCTGTCTCCCTCACAATCAACTCTAAGAAGGCAGAGCCTCTGTGTTATTCTAACTGTATCTCCAGCACCTGGGACAGCGGCTGGCTGGTTTGTAGTAGGTATTCAATGAAAATGTTTCGCAGGGATTAAAACAAACAAAGCCAAGGCACACTTTCATATTCCCAGAGATCTAGAGACAAAAGAGGTGTGAGTCGTATTTAAGGAGTAACAGCCTCAGGGTTGAAAATAGGCACTATCTCTTCACTCTTCAACAGCCAGTCAATTTATAAGACATTTACTTAATGCACGAAGGGGTTTCCTCTTTCCAGTCTGGAGAAAAGAAGAAAAAAAAGCACTTGTAAAGAACACTAAACACACACACACACACACACACACACGCACACATACACATCAAAAGAAATTTCAACCCCAATGCACACGGAGGTGTGTCCAAGCCAGAATTAGCCTTCAGATGAGATAAGAGAAAAGCTAAAGCACATTCTTGTCAAAACTGGACACTAGCTTTCAACTTATCCTGCCCCCATGTGATCTCAGGAGGAGCCTTACTTAGCATCTGCATGCTAATTACAGACTCGCTGGCCAACGCTAGGCACACGCAAATCTGACTTAGTGGCTGGCGTGGAGGAACCGTTGTCCAACATTCTTAAGAGCTTGTGAAACAATACTACTGCTTGGACTGCCCCCTCCCCAGCCCTTTCCAGCCCCACCCTGCTCACACACCATTCCCCACTCCTCCTTCTCAGATCAGAGCAAACTAGCTGCCTGGTTTGGTAATAAGATTGAGGGAAGACTCGGAAGGCCCCCTGGGCTCCATTATTACGCACAACCTACAAGAAGGGCCACCTCCAGGGACTGTTCTGCACATCCAGCCCCACTTGCTGCCAGGAAACCTTTCCCATTGAGGACACCCTGGGCAGGCGCAGCCCCAGGTCCAAGAGGAGGCACCCCACCCATCTGCTAGAGAGACAAAGATCACCAGAAACAAAGGACACACACACACACTCGTGCGCACACAAAGTCAACAGCAAATACCCACACTTGGTGCGGTTTCAAGCCAAACAGCCAGCGTGGTGCATCTTTAAATAGATTTTGCAACAATCCAGGAGGGACAATGACTGTGTGATAATGACAGGCGCTACCTGGGTTTGGAACCCACGCTGCCTCCGCCCTCCTCCCACCCGGGTGCAGTTCCCAGGCGCATTTTTCTGCCTCAGGACACTCGCTGCCAGGAGCGCCCGTGCTTCCACTCGCGGCAGCGCGCACACGCGGGAGGTGGAGGCCGGGCGAGGGCGGCCGAAAGTAGCGAGTACCAACCTTTAGGATCCCAGTTCACCTGTTTTCTTGGAGTCTCGATTGGAAATTTCATTGCTCCGTTGCCCAGACGGGGAGGAAATAACAAGAAACAAAATAACAAATTCCTCAAGCTTTAACCGCCGCGGTAACAGCAGTCCAACGAAACAATTTCCCAGGATGGGGGAGCCCTGGACCGGCTCGTGGAGGAACCCCAGAGGAAAACAAGTGGGAAAGACTGGCTTAGGAGAGAACTGGAGGCGGCTTGGGTGTTTGCACCGGCTGAGGAGTGGGAGGCAGCAACCTCCTGGGTAAAAAGGAAAAGTAAGATCCACGAGGTGAAGACGAAGGAGCCTCGGGAAGATGAAAGGGCCAAGCTCCCCAAATGCGCCGCGCGCTGGCTGGGACTGAGCAGCCGGAGGGCCTGCGCGAGGGAGAAGCCCACTGCAGTGTCACTCCAGCCCCCGAAGGCGAGTGTGCTCGCACTCCCGCGCGCACACGCACACACACACTCGCGCACACACTCGCCAGGCGCAGGCTCCGGTGGCACGTCAGCCGGGCTCGCTGGTGCAGCGCGCACACGCCCCACCCCAGCGGTGGCTCCTCGCCTGCAGGCGACGCCCCCCACTCTCCACCCCTGAAAAGCCATTGGACGTAGGGGTGGCGCGGCGCTCGGGGAGCTCGCAGCGAAGGAGACCCTCCCCGCTTTGCGCTTTGCTCTGCAGAAGCTGCGCCAAGACCGGAG